CACAACTTCCTCGTGACGTATGAGGGATTTTGACCATTTTATGAAGATCGTGCACCTGCATATTTGGATTGACGTTGTTCGAAGAATTGAGCTTAACTTTTGCAGACGGTGTCCGTTATGCGACCATAGGTACTTTTCGGAAATGTTGCGACCCTTTAGGGTTTAGCTCACGATTTCGTAATGACGTATTAGGGTTTTCGTCCTTTTTTTGAATAACGACCACTCGCATATTTTTAACGCTTGGATTTTCGACCTTCAAAGAAATGAGCGTAACTTATGCAAACGGTGTCCGTTTTGGGCCCATAAGTACTTTTCGAAAATATAGCGACCCTTTTGGATTGAACTCACAACTTAGTTGTGACGTATGAGGGAATTTGGCCATTTTTTGAAGAACGTGCAGCTCCATATTTGGTTTGATGGCGTTCGAAGAATTGAGCATAACTTTCGCAGACGGTGTCCGTTTTGGGACCATAAGTAGTTTTCGGAAATGTAGCGACCGTTTTGGGTTTAGCTCACGATTTCGTAATGATGTATTAGGGTTTTCGTCCTTTTTTTGAACAATGACCACTCACATATTTTTAACGCTTGGATTTTCGACCTTCGAAGAAATGAGAGTAACTTATGCAAACGGTGTCCGTTTTGGGCCAAGGACGGGTCAAAGAAATTCCAAAAAAAGGGTGCAAGTGTCACATGTTTAGCTCACGATTAAGTAATGACGCATTAGGGTTTTCGTCCTTTTTTTGTAGAATGACCACTCGCATATTTTTAAGTCTTAGATTTTCGACTTTCGAAGAAATGAGCGTAACTTATACAAACGGTGTCCGTTTTGGGCCCATAAGTACTTTCGGAAATGTAGCGACCCTTTTGGATTGAAATCACAACTTTGTCGTGACGTACGAGGGATTTTGACCATTTTTTGAAGAACGTGCAGCTGCATATTTGGATTGATGGCGCTCGAAGAATTGAGCATAACTTTTACAGACGGTGTCCGTTATGGGACCATAAGTACTTTTCAGAAATGTGACGACCGTTTTGGGTTTAGCTCACGATTTCGTAATGAGGTATCAGGTTTTCGTCCTTTTTTTGAAGAACGACCACTCGCATGTTTTTAACGCTTGGATTTTCGACCTTCGAAGAAATGAGCGTAACTTATGCAAACGGTGTCCGTTTTGGGCCCATAAGTACTTTTCGGAAATATAGCAACCCTTTTGGATTTAAATCACAACTTTGTCGTGATGTACGAGGGATTTTGACCATTTTTTGAAGAACATGCAGCTGCATATTCAGATTGATGGCGTTCGAAGAATTGAGCATAACTTTTGCAGACGGTGTCCGTTATGGGACCATAAGTACTTTTCGAAAATGTGACGACCATTTTGGGTGTAGCTCACTATTTCGTAATGACGTATCAGGGTTTTCGTCCTTTTTTTGAAGAATGACCACTCGCATGTTTTTAACGCTTGGATTTTCGACCTTCGAAGAAATGAGCGTAAACTTATGCAAGCGGTGTCCGTTTTGGGCCCATAAGTACTTTTCGAAAATGTAGCGACCCTATTGGATTGCATTCACAACTTCGTCGTGACGTATGAGGGATTTTGAAAAATTTTTGAAGAACGTGCACCTGCATATTTCGATTGACGGTGTTCGAAGAATTGAGCATAACTTTCGTAGACGATGTCCGTTATGGGACCATAAGTACTTTTCGGAAATGTAGCGACCGTTTTGGGTTGCACTCACTACTTCGTCGTGACGTACGAGGTATTTTGACAATTTTTTGAAGAACGTGCAGCTCCATATTTGGATTGACGGCGTTCGAAGAATTGAGCATAACTTTTGCTGACGGTTTCCATTTTGGGATCAAAAGTAGTTTTCGAAAATGTGGCGACCATTGTGGGTTTAGCTCACAATTTCATAATGACGTATTAGGGTTTTGGTCCTTTTTTTGAAGAACGACCACTCGCATATTTTTAACGCTTGGATTTTTCACCTTCGAAGAAATTAGCGTAACTTATGCAAACGGTGTCCGTTTTGGGCCCATAAGTACTTTTCGAAAATATAGCGACCCTTTTGGATTTAAATCACAACTTCGTCGTGACGTACGAGGGATTTTGACCATTTTTTGAAGAACGTGCAGCTGCATATTTGGATTGACGGCGTTCGAAGAATTGAGCATAACTTTTGCAGACGGTGTCCGTTTTGGGATAAAATGTAGTTTTCGAAAATGTGGCGACCGTTGTGGGTTTAGCTCACAATTTCGTAATGAAGTATTCGGGTTTTGGTCCTTTTTTTGAAGAACGACCACTCGCATATTTTTAACGCTTGGATTTTCGACCTTCGAAGAAATGAGCGTAACTTATGCAAACGATGTCCGTTTTGGGCCCATAAGTACTTTTCGGAAATGTAGAGACCCTTTTGGATTGAAATCACAACTTCGTCGTGACGTATGAGGGATTTTGAAAATTTTTTGAAGAACGTGTACCTGCATATTTGGATTGACGGTGTTCGAAGAATTGAGCATAATTTCGTAGACGGTGTCCTTTATGGGACCATAAGTACTTTTCGGAAATGAAGCAATCGTTTTGGGTTTAGCTTACAATTTTGTAATGAGGTTTAGGGTTTTCGTCCTTTTTTTGAAGAACGACCACTCGCATGTTTTTAACGCTTGGATTTTTGACTTTCGAAGAAATGAGCGTAACTTATGCAAACGGTGTCCGTTTTGGGCCCATAAGTTCTTTTCAGAATTGTAGCGACCCTTTTGGATTGCACTCACAACTTCGTCGTGACGTTTGAGGGATTTTAACAATTTTTTGAAGAACATGCACCTGTATATTTGGATTGACGGAGTTCAAAGAATTCAGCATAACTTTCGTAAACGGTGTCCGTTATGCGACCATAAGTAATTTTCGGAAATGTAGCAACCGTTTTGGGTTTAGCTCACGATTTCGTAATGACGCATTAGGATTTTCGTCCTCTTTTTTGTAGAACGACCACTCGCATATTTTTAATGCTTAGATTTTCGACCTTCGAAGAAATGAGCGTAACTTATGCAAACGATGTCCGTTTTGGGCCCATAAGTACTTTTCGGAAATATAGCGACGCTTTTGGATTTAAATCACAACTTCGTCGTGGCGTACGTGGGATTTTGACCATTTTTTGAAGAAGGTACAGCTGCATATTTGGATTGACGGCGTTCGAAGAATTGAGCATAACTTTGGCAGACGGTGTCCGTTTTGGGACCATAAGTAGTTTTCGAAAATGTAGCGACCATTGTGGGTTTAGCTCACGATTTCGTAATGACATATTAGGGTTTTCGTCCTTTTTTTGAAGAACGACCACTCGCATATTTTTAACGCTTGGATTTTCGGCATTCAAAGAAATGAGCGTAACTTATGCAAACGGTGTCCGTTTTGGGCCCATAAGTATTTTTCGAAAATGTAGCGACCCTTTTGGATTGCACTCACAACTTCGTCGTGACGTACGAGGTATTTTGACAATTTTTTGAAGAACGTGCAGCTGCATATTTGGATTTACGGCGTTCGAAGAATTGAGCATAACTTTTGCAGACAGTGTTCGTTTTGGGATCAAAAGTAGTTTTCAGAAATGTGGCGACCGTTGTGGGTTTAGCTCACAATTTCGTAATGACGTATTAGGGTTTTCGGCCTTTTTTTGAAGAACGACCACTCGCATGATTTTAACGACTGGATTTTCGACCTTCGAAGAAATGAGCGTAACTTATGCAAACGGTGTCCGTTTTGGGCCCATTAATACTTTTCAAAAATGTGGCGACCCTTTTGGATTGCACTCAAAACTTCGTCGTGACGTATGAGGGATTTTGTCAATTTTTTGAAGAATGTGCACCTGCATATTTGGATTATAGGTGTTCGAAGAATTGAGCATAACTTTCGTAGACGGTGTCCGTTATGGGACCGTAAGTACTTCTCGGAAATGTAGCGACCATTCCGGGTTTAGCTCACGATTTCATAATGAGGTATTAGGGTTTTCGTCCTTTTTTTGAAGAATGACCACTCGCATGTTTTTAACGCTTGGATTTTCGACCTTCGAAGAAATGAGCGTAACTTATGCAAACGGTGTTCGTTTTAGGCCCATAAGTACTTTTCGAAAATGTAGCGTCCCTTTTGGATTGCACTCACAACTTCGTCACGACGTATGAGGGATTTTGACAATTTTTTGAAGAACGTGCACCTGCATATTTGGATTGACGGTGTTCGAAGAATTGGGCATAACTTTCATAGACGGTGTCCGTTATGGGACCATAAGTACTTTTCGGAAATGTAGCTACCGTTTTGGGTTTAGCTCACGATTAAGTAATGACGCATTAGGGTTTTCGTCCTTTTTTTGTAGAATGACCACTCGCATATTTTTAATTCTTAGATTTTCGACTTTCGAAGAAATGAGCGTAACTTATGCAAACGGTGTCCGTTTTGGGTCCATAAGTACTTTTCGGAAATGTAGCGACCCTTTTGGATTGAAATCACAACTTCATCGTAACGTACGAGGGATTTTGACCATTTTTTGAAGAACGTGCAGCAGCATATTTTGATTGACAGCGTTCGAAGAATTGAGCATAACTTTTGCAGACAGTGTCCGTTATGGGACCATAAGTACTTCTCGGAAATGTAGCGACCATTCCGGGTTTAGCTCACGATTTCATAATGAGGTATTAGGGTTTTCGTCCTTTTTTTGAAGAACGACCACTCGCATGTTTTTAACGCTTGGATTTTCGACCTTCGAAGATATGAGCGCAACTTATGCAAACGGTGTCCGTTTTGGGCCCATAAGTACTTTTCGAAAATGTAGCGTCCTTTTTGGATTGCACTCACAACTTCGTCACGACGTCTGAGGGATTTTGACAATTTTTTGAGGAACGTGCACCTGCATATTTGGATTGACGGTGTTCGAAGAATTGAGCATAACTTTCGTAGACGGTGTCCGTTATGGGACCATAAGTACTTTTCGGAAATGTAGCTACCGTTTTGGGTTTAGCTTACGATTAAGTAATGACGCATTAGGGTTTTCGTCCTTTTTTTGTAGCGTGAAACAGTCTGCCAAATCATATCCACAGCATCACCGGGCTGAGATGGATACTGATACTCAAAGTGTCGACTGATCTTCTTTAGTCTTTCCCACATTTTCGTCCAGTTCTCTTGCTCGATACCTCTCAGGAGATTAAGAAGATAACCCTTTTTCACAGCGTCAGATGAGTGGACAAATACACAGAATTCTGAGTAGTCGAGAACATCTTCAAAGGGTAGCTCAATTTCATCACTGATTATTACAGGAACACAGTGACTAGCGATGGCATCAAAGAGACGATTTGAAGAAGGGGTGTCTCCAGCAATATTCAGGCAGAATTTGGAAGAGGCCATCCCTTTCCCTGCCTGTTTTATCCCATTAGCCTGAACACTTCCAAAGGCAAAGTGAACGTCTTTCTCATCTTTGAGTAGGTAGTATAGTACTTGACGGATGGCTCCACCGTCTTTCCTGTAAATTGCTCCTCGGAAATACATCAACATAGGCCGTTCACTGAATGACGGCGAGTTAGCAATCGGAATCGTTCTCACCATATGCTTGTAAGGTGCAATTACATCCTTTTCAAGGTTTGCTATTTTTCTGGAGTATCTCCCAAAATCTGAAAGCACGAACATGGCGGAACCCAACTTATTTCTTGCAAATAACATGCTATTTGGGTGGTGGGCTACAATCAAATGATCCCTACCACCCAGTTGCTTCCACTCATCCTGACCTTCCAAAAACTGCACCAATTTATCCTGCAGCATTCTATTGGCACTAACCTTTTCATGTCCTTGGAGCTTTGAGTGTCGGTTGTAATCTTTTCCGAAATGGAAGACATCTCAAAACTCACTGCGCCTTATCAGAATCTCTATATTACTCTTCCAGCGAAAACAATCAATCTTTCCTACTAAAATGCGAGGACCTTGAGTTGAGTACTCCCATGGAGGCACTGCTCTTTGTCCAGCGAAGGCTTCAACTGTTGTAATCCCACCTTAAACCATAATTCCTATGATTTAAAAAAATAGATACTTTTCATAATTTTTTTGATCGGAGATTTATGTAATGTATTGCAACGCCTTTTAGGTGTGTTGTAAAGTGGACCCCGTTTTGGGTTTAGCTCACGATTAAGTAATGACGCATTAGGGTTTTCGTCCTTTTTTTGTAGAATGACCACTCGCATATTTTTAATTCTTAGATTTTCGACTTTCGAAGAAATGAGCGTAACTTATGCAAACGGTGTCCGTTTTGGGTCCATAAATACTTTTCGAAAATGTAGCGACCCTTTTGAATTGAAATCACAACTTCGTCGTGACGTACGAGGGATTTTGACCATTTTTTGAAGAACGTGCAGCTGCATATTTGGATTGACAGCGTTCGAAGAATTGAGCATAACTTTTGCAGACGGTGTCCATTTTGGGACCATAAGAACTTTTCGAAAATGTAGGGACCGATTTGGGTTTAGCTCACGATTTCGTACTGACGTATTAGGGTTTTCGTCCTTTTTTTGAAGAACGACCACTCACCTATTTTTAACGCTTGGATTTTCGACCTTCGAAGAAATGAGCGTAACTTATCCAAACAGTGTCCATTTTGAGCCCATAAGTACTTTTCAGAAATGTAGCGACCTTTTGGATTGCACTCACAACTTCTTCGTGACATATGAGCGATTTTGACAATTTTTTGAAGAACGAGCACCTGCATATTTGGATTCATGGCGTTCGAATAATTGAGCATAATTTTTGCAGATGGTGTCCGTTTTGGGAACATAAGAACTTTTCGAAAATGTAGCGACCGATTTGGGTTTAGCTCACGATTTCGTACTGACGTATTAGGGTTTTCGTCCTTTTTTTGAAGAACGACCACTCACATATTTTTAACGCTCGGATTTTCGACCTTCGAAGAAATGAGCGTAACTTATGCAAAAAGTGTCCGTTTTGGGCCCATAAGTACTTTTCGGAAATGTGGCGACCCTTTTTGATTTAACTCACCACTTCGTTGTGATGTATGAGGGATTTTGACCATTTTTTGAAAAACGTGCACCTGCATATTTGGAATGACGGCGTTCGAAGAATTGAGCGTAACTTATGCAAACGGTGTCCGTAATGGGACCATAAGTACTTTTCTGAAATGTAGCGACCGTTTTGGGTTTAGCTCACAATTTTGTAATGACGTATTAGGGTTTTCGTCCTTTTTTTGTAGAACGACCACTCACATATTTTTAATGCTTGGATTTTCGACCTTCGAAGAAATGAGCGTAACTTATGCAAACGGTGTCCGTTTTGGGCCCATAAGTACTTTTCGAAAATGTAGCGACCATTTTGGATTGAATTCACAACTTCGTTGTGAAGTACGAGAAATTTTGGCCATTTTTTGACGAACGAGCACCTGCATATTTTGATTGATGGCGTTCGAAGAATTGAGCATAACTTTTACAGACGGTGTCTGTTTTGGGATCAAAAGAAGTTATCAAAAATTTGGCGACCGTTGTGGGTTTTGCTCACAATTTCGTAATGACGTATTAGGGTTTTCGCCTTTTTTGAAGAACGACCACTAGCTTGTTTTTAACGCTTGGATTTTCGACCTTCGAAGAAATGAGCGTAACTTATGAAACGGTGTCCGTTTTGGGCCCATAAGTACTTTTCGAAAATGTAGCGACCCTTTTGGATTGCACTCACTACTTCATCGTGACGTATGAGGGATTTTGACAATTTTTTGAAGAACGTGCACCTGCATATTTGGATTGACGGTGTTCGAAGAATTGAGCATAACTTTCGTAGACGGTGTCCGTTATGGGACCATAAGTACTTTTCGGAAATGTAGCGACCGTTTTGGGTTTAGCTCACGATTTCGTAATTACGCATTAAGGTTTTTGTCCTTTTTTTGTAGAACGACCACTCGCATATTTTTAATGCTTGGATTTTCGACCTTCGAAGAAATGAGCGTAACTTATGCAAACGGTGTCCGTTTTGGGCCCATAAGTACTTTTCGGAAATGTAGCGACCATTTTGGATTGAAATCACAAGTTTGTCATGACGTACGAGGGATTTTGACCCTTTTTTGAAGAACGTGCAGCTGCATATTTGGATTGATGGCGCTCGAAGAATTGAGCATAACTTTTGCAGACGGTGTCCGTTATGGGACCATAAGTACTTTTCGGAAATGTGATGACCGTTTTGGGTTTAGCTCACGATTTCGTAATGACGTATCAGGGTTTTCGTCCTTTTTTTGAAGAACGACCACTCGCATGTTTTTAACGCTTGGATTTTCGACCTTCGAAGAAATGAGCGTGACTTATGCAAACGGTGTCCGTTTTGGGCCCATAAGTACTTTTCGGAAATATAGCAACCCTTTTGGATTGAAATCACAACTTTGTCGTGATGTAAGAGGGATTTTGACCATTTTTTGAAGAACGTGCAGCTGCATATTTGGATTGATGGCGTTCGAAGAATTGAGAATAACTTTTGCAGACAGTGTCCGTTATGGGACCATAAGTACTTTTCGGAAATGTGACGACCGTTTTGGGTTTAGCTAACGATTTCGTAATGACGTATCAGGGTTTTCGTCCTTTTTTTGAAGAACGACCACTCGCATGTTTTTAACGCTCGGATTTTTGACCTTCGAAGAAATGAGCGTAACTTATGCAAACGGTGTCAGTTTTGGGCCCATAAGTGCTTTTCGAAAATGTAGAGACCCTTTTGGATTGAAATCACAACTTCGTCATAACGTATGGGGGATTTTGACAATTTTTTGAAGAACGTGCACCTGCATATTTGGATTATAGGTGTTCGAAGAATTGAGCATAACTTTCGTAGACAGTGTCCGTTATGGGACCATAAGTACTTCTCGGAAATGTAGCGACCATTCCGGGTTTAGCTCACGATTTCATAATGAGGTATTAGGGTTTTCGTCCTTTTTTTGAAGAACGACCACTCGCATGTTTTTAACGCTTGGATTTTCGAACTTCGAAGAAATGAGCGTAACTTATGCAAACGGTGTCCGTTTTGGGCCCATAAGTACTTTTCAAAAATGTAGCGTCCCTTTTGGATTGCACTCACAACTTCGTCGTGACGTATGAGGGATTTTGACAATTTTTTGAAGAACGTGCACCTGCGTATTTCGATTGACGGTGTTCGAAGAATTTAGCATAACTTTCATAGACGGTGTCCGTTATGGGACGATAAGCACTTTTCGAAAATGTAGCGACCGTTTTGGGTTGCACTCACAACTTCGTCGTAACGTACGAGGTATTTTGACAATTTTTTGAAGAACGTGCAGCTGCATATTTGGATTGACGGCGTTCGAAGAATTGAGCATAACTTTTGCAGACGGTGTCCGTTTGGGGATCAAAAGTAGTTTTCGGAAATGTGGCGACCATTGTGGGTTTAGCTCACAATTTCGTAATGACGTATTAGGGTTTTGGTCCTTTTTTTGAAGAACGACCACTCGCATATTTTTAACGCTTGGATTTTCGACCTTCGAAGAAATTAGCGTAACTTATGCAAACGGTGTCCGTTTTAGGCCAATAAGTACTTTTCGGAAATATAGCGACCCTTTTGGATATAAATCACAACTTCGTCGTGACGTATGAGGGATTTTGACCATTTTTTGAAGAATGTGCAGCTGCATATTTGGATTGACGGCGTTTGAAGAATTAAGCATAACTTTTACAGACGGTGTCCGTTTTGGGATAAAATGTAGTTTTCGAAAATGTGGCGACCGTTGTGGGTTTAGCTCACAATTTCGTAATGAAGTATTCGGGTTTTGGTCCTTTTTTTGAAGAACGACCACTCGCATATTTTTAATGCTTGGATTTTCGACCTTCGAAGAAATGAGCGTAACTTATGCAAACGGTATCAGTTTTGAGCCCATAAGTACTTTTCGGAAATGTAGAGACCCTTTTGTATTGAAATCACAACTTCGTCATGACGTATGAGGGATTTTGACAATTTTTTGAAGAACGTGCACCTGCATATTTGGACTGACGGTGTTCGAAGAATTGAGCATAACTTTCGTAGACGTTGTCCGTTATGGGACCATAAGTACTTTTCGGAAATGTAGCAATCGTTTTGGGTTTAGCTTACGATTTCGTAATGAGGTATTAGAGTTTTCATCCTTTTTTTGAAGAACGACCACTCGCATGTTTTTAACGCTTGGATTTTCGACCTTCGAAGAAATGAGCGTAACTTATGCAAACGGTGTCCGTTTTGGGCCCATAAGTACTTTTCGGAATTGTAGCGACCCTTTTGGATTGCACTCACAACTTCGTCGTGTCGTTTGAGGGATTTTAACAATATTTTGAAGAACGTGCACCTGCATATTTGGATTGACGGAGTTCGAAGAATTCAGCATAACTTTCGTAAACGGTGTCCGTTATGCGACCATAAGTAATTTTCGGAAATGTAGCGACCGTTTTGGGTTTAGCTCACGATTTCGTAATGACATATTAGGGTTTTCGTCCTTTTTTTGAAGAACGACCACTCACATATTTTCAACGCTTGGATTTTCGACCTTCGAAGAAATGAGCGTAACTTATGCAAACGATGTCCGTTTTGGGCCCATAAGTACTTTTCGGAAATATAGCGACCCTTTTAGATTTAAATCACAAATTCGTCGTGGCGTACGAGGGATTTTGACCATTTTTTGAAGAACGTGCAGCTGCATATCTGGATTGACGGCGTTCGAAGAATTGAGCATAACTTTGGCAGACGGTGTCCGTTTTGGGACCATAGGTAGTTTTCGGAAATGTAGCGACCATTGTGGGTTTAGCTCACGATTTCGTAATGACATATTAGGGTTTTCGTCCTTTTTTTGAAGAACGACCACTCGCATGATTTTAACGCTTGGATTTTCGACCTTCGAAGAAATGAGCGTAACTTATGAAAACGGTGTCCGTTTTGGGCCCATGAATACATTTCGAAAATGTGGCGACCCTTTTGGATTGTACTCACAACTTCGTCGTGACGTATGAGGGATTTTGTCAATTTTTTGAAGAACGTGCACCTACATATTTGGATTATAGGTGTTCGAAGAATTGAGCATAACTTTCGTAGACAGTGTCCGTTATGGGACCATAAGTACTTCTCGGAAATGTAGCGACCATTCCGGGTTTAGCTCACGATTTCATAATGACGTATTAGGGTTTTCGTCCTTTTTTTGAAGAACGACCACTCGCATGTTTTTAACGTTTGGATTTTCAACCTTCGAAGAAATGAGCGTAACTTATGCAAACAGTGTCCGTTTTGGGCCCATAAGTACTTTTCAAAAATGTAGCGTCCCTTTTGGATTGCACTCACAACTTCGTCATGACGTATGAGGGATTTTGACAATTTTTTGAAGATCGTGCACCTGCATATTTGGATTGACGGTGTTCGAAGAATTGAGCATAAGTTTTGTAGACGGTGTCCGTTATGGGACCATAAGTACTTTTCGGAAATGTAGCTACCGTTTTGGGTTTAGCTCACGATTAAGTAATGACGCATTAGGGTTTTCGTCCTTTTTTTGTAGAATGACCACTCGCATATTTTTAATTCTTAGATTTTCGACCTTCGAAGAAATGAACGTAACTTATGCAAACGGTGTCCGTTTTGGGTCCATAAGTACTTTTCGGAAATGTAGCGACCCTTTTGGATTGAAATCACAACTTCGTCGTGACGTACGAGGGATTTTGACCATTTTTTGAAGAACGTGCAGCTGCATATTTGGATTGACGGCGTTCGAAGAATTGAGCATAACTTTTGCAGACGGTGTCCGTTTTGGGACCATAAGAACTTTTTGAAAATGTAGCGACCGATTTGGGTTAGCTCACGATTTCATACTGACGTATTAGGGGTTTCGTCCTTTTTTTGAAGAACGACCACTCGCATATTTTTAACGCTTGGATTTTCGACCTTCGAAGAAATGAGCGTAACTTTTGCAAACAGTGTCCGTTTTGGGCCCATAAGTACCTTTCGAAAATGTAGCGACCCTTTTGGATTGCACTCACAACTTCTTCGTGACGTACGAGGGATTTTGACCATTTTTTGAAGAACGTGCAGATGCATATTTTGATTGACGGCGTTCGAAGAATTGAGCATAACTTTTGCAGACGGTGTCCATTTTGGGAACATAAGAACTTTTCGAAAATGTAGCGACCGATTTGGGATTAGCTCACGATTTCCTACTGACGTATTAGGGTTGTCGTCCTTTTTTTGAGGAACGACCACTCACATATTTTTAACGCTTGGATTTTCGACCTTCGAAGAAATGAGCGTAACTTATACAAAAAGTGTCCGTTTTGGGCCCATAAGTACTTTTCGGAAATGTAGTGACCCTTCTGGATTGAACTTACCACTTCGTTGTGATGTATGAGGGATTTTTACCATTTTTTAAAAATGTGCACCTGCATATTTGGATTGACGGCGTTTGAAGAATTGAGCGTAACTTATGCAAACGGTGTCCGTAATGGGACCATAAGTACTTTTCTGAAATGTAGCGACCGTTTTGGGTTGAACTCACGAATTCATCGTGACGTACGAGGTATTTCGACAATTTTTCAAAAGATTGAGCACTTGCATACTTGGAACGCTTGGAGAGTCGGCGTACGAAGAATTGAGCGTAACTTTTGCACCCGGTGTCCGTTTTGGGACCATAAGTACTTTTCGAAAATGTGGCGACCCTTTTGGATTGAATTCACAACTTCGTCGTGACGTACGAGGGATTTTGACCATTTTTTGAAGAACGAGCACCTGCATATTTTGATTGATGGCGTTCGAAGAATTGAGCATAACTTTCGTAGACGGTGTCCGTTATGGGACCATAAGTACTTTTCGGAAATGTAGCGACCGTTTTGGATTGAACTCACAACTTCGTCGTGACGTACGAG